AATTATTAAAACAATATTTATAAATTTGTTACGTTGAATTATATTTCTAATATAAAAACATATATTATTTATTTTAGTTTAAAAATATGAAAGAAATTTGCAAAAATATGTGAAAATAATCAAATAAAACTATAAAATAAATTTGACAAATAAATATTTTTACTTAAATTAATATATAATATTAATATTCAGTATTATCTGGACATATAAACATTTTGATTTGAAAATAAAATATTCTTTTGTTTGGAATTTATTATACAAATAAATATAATTATTATAAAAATCTTATTTATGTTTATAATAATGTATTATAAATATATAAATATAATAATAAATTAAATATAACTTATATTTTTAAGTAACAAACATTATCATATTATTCTGATGTATAAAATAAAAAATTCTGAAATAATAAGATATTTGAATATCAATCTAAATAATTGTGACAAATGTGATTATTCTCAAACAGTTGTATTTTCTATTTTTAATTAATTGTATGAAGATACAATAATTAAAAATTAATTTATTTAAATATATTTCATAATTTCCACCAATAATAAAAATACATGTCCGGCGTTAAAGTGTAAAATAATTAAAAATAAAATAATTTCGTCGTATCAAATTTATCCAATAATAATATATATTTATCCAATAAAATATATTATAATTAATAATTCTGTCTTACCACGGGATTTCCATGAGATTTAGAATCATTTTGTTAAAAAGAAATTTGTTTTTCTTATGAGCATTTATTACATATTCTATTTACGTTATATTTATCACATAAGTTATATATGTTGATATAACCAACCTCGTTGCTGTCTTCTCGGTAGCTTAATGATTAGAGTAACCGTCTGCAAAACAGGAATACCTCAGTTCAATTCCCGACCTAACGAAAAATTTTTTCTTGTACAATAATTTAGTTGAAACACATCATTTTAATTTTGAATCACAACTATTCTTTCAAATCACGAGATTTGTTCGAAATAAATAAACGTCAGATGATATTATTACAGAATTAAGAGAAGCGGAATTATGGTAGTTAGACTTCTCTGCAAAGCAAGTGTTATTATACTGGCACGAAAATTTAACGCTCTCTTTCTCAACAATCATCTTCGTGTGATATGTTCGCGAATAACATAAAGAAAATATGAATAGTTCTATTATAGGAAATACGAATAAATTGTTGAGAATAGCTCGCTAGAAGAATAATTCGAGCAAAGCGAAAAGAGATTGAGAGAATTGTTGAGATTCGAGAAATGCGAATAAATTTGTCCGCATTACTTATACTTAAGTATATGTTGTAATATTGTCATAATATTGCAACTAAAGTTACATATAAGCATTATATAGTAAGAGCGTGTAATAATGAGTAACAACCAACAACTGTCTGATCTTGAAACTTCAATAGCTGCTATCGAGATCGGTAGTACAGTTATAAGGTTAACATTCAGAAGTGGAGAAATGAGCCACTTATTGAATCATAGACAATATTCATCATGGTTCTCATTTGGACCTATTCGACTCGATCGTGCACAAATCGACTGGTCGTTATTAACTTGGAACACCAATGCAAACAATAGCATTTCTGTTCATTTTCGAATACCTATTGCCATCAGCATCCCTCGCATTAATCTGACGACACTGATTACTGGTCATATTTCTCGCGTTACGTCTTTGGAAAATGAAGAATATTGGTTTCGACTCCGATGGTTCGGTATTGGTATCTACTTGATAAGTTTCCGTTTTAATAATCGGAATACCGAATAGATGAAAGAAGTATTTCTGTATTAACACATTATTATCGATGGATTTTTTTTTAACTTTTTTTAAAATTTCTTTTTTCATGTTACAATTTTTATTTTCATTTGCATATTATATATATATATTTCTTATTTATTAATTTTTATGTGATATTTCTTTTTTACATTTTTTATATTCTTTTAATATATATTATTTTAATCTTCAAAAACTTTTTTGTTTTACATTATTCTAATTTATTTAAATTACAATTAGTCTTAATATATATTGTTTTTACTATAATTTTTATAGATAGGACTATTTCAAAGACATATCTTTGTATTACAATTCAACATTTCTATATCGCGATCGCTCTCACATCATAATGTTCAGTTAAGAGATTAGATTAAAAAATTATATTTGGAAAATTATTTTTTTAAAACGATATTGAACAAAAAATTATGTTTCATGTAATTTCTTATTTTTTATTTTAATTCCTTTTATTTATTTATATTTTACGATATAATTATCATTTCTAAATTTTTTTTATACAGGCGTTGTAATTTGTAATATTTCCTGTTAATATCAATTTAGTAATTCTTCAATAACCCAAACGAAAAATTCTATACATTTACATTTATCGCGAAAACTTTTCTTCTTGATGGAAGTACATAAAGATTAATCTTCGCTTATTGAATAACTAACAGTAAAAGTATGAATCTAGTTCAGAACAACAGAATTCCATTATTTTTTTGACTTTGATTTGTTTATATTTTATCATTATTTTAATTTAATTGTCTTAGGAAATACGATCGTCGAAGAAGGATTAAAAGAACTCATTGAAATTATAAGTCAATGAAAATAACGAACGAGATTTATATTCGAGAATTATCCTCGATGTTATTGGAATAAAGCAATAAATAACGAATCATGCTTTGATTGCAACTCTTTCGATGGCCATGTCTCATATCCGGTTTGTCTATGTGTAAATAAATTCTAAATAGCCATATATTTCATATTATTGTGAATTTATCATTCCAAAATATTCATTATTGAATCACTGTTACTAATATAATGCAGCGATGTTGAGAGCCTATGAATATATCAATTTTGAAACGTTATGTTTCTTTGGAATTTTTTTTTATTTTTCTGCTTTTCAAAGCATTATGCTATATATTAAATATTAAATATCATATATCGTATTTTGTGTATTCAAACATTCATGGATTCATAGATAACGTAATTATATTATCATGTTTTTATTGGATAATGTTTGTTTGCTGATCAGTGCATGTTACTCTCATGGAAAATGGAGATAGTGAAATTTTGAGTGTAAGAAATAATAATAATTGCAACTGTAGCTTCGCTCTCTCAAGTATTTGTTTTGTTGTTGCGTTAAATTCATTAATGCCATATTTTAACTATACATATGTCGTAGAATAACAAAATATTTTTCTATGAATCGGTGTTAATGTCGTATTAGTCGGTCGATTATAATTAAAATAGAGTAATATTATTAAATATAAAAAAAAAAGAAATGATAAAAATTATAAAATGATTTGATAGGTCAAGTTATGAAATACTTATGTACATTTTTTTACTTTGTCTGCGCATGCATGTATATATACAGGATGTTACTATATATCTTTAAAGGGTTAATTCTAAAGGTCAAAACAAATACAAAAATTGCTATATAAAAAAATATTAAATGAAGCTTATTTGTTGAACAATTTTATAAACAATTTAATTTTATACTGGATAAAGTGAGACAAAATTAAAATAAGAAAAAAATAGTCGCATGGTGGGAAAAATCCAGTAGCATATTGCATTACTTTTATTTAGCAATTTATATCTATAAAATTATCAAATTTGACATTGGATTTGAAATATTTTAAATCCATCAAGAAAATAGAATTTTTTATTGGATCATCTGTTTTATATATAGTAAATTAAAATTTTTATTGATCAATATTCAAACATTTATTAAAAATAACACTGATTAATGTTTAAAATTACAACTATATTTTGTTTTATTATATATTAGAATTTTATATAATATTTATTTTAATAATATATAAATATTTCTAGTTTATATGGATTATTGGAATATTATTGCTCATCAGGTTAATAATAATTCTTATAAGATAAATTTTTAAATGATTTTTTACACGTTATACAACTCCTTTCCATTTTTTGTTATTATTGCGCAATTAAACGGAAGTTCACTAATATAAAAAAATTATTTTGAAAATAAGATTTTTTAACAATTTAATACTTAATATATATTATAAGTTATACATACTACATATATATAATTAACAAAACTTAACACTTTTAATTAGCATACACTTATATTAATAATTCAATCATCATTGATATAATTCTGATTCTAAAAGAATTTATCCTGAAATTGATTTACATTATTTAGAACCATAATTCAAACTAATATATTTTTCTTCAGGAAACTTAGAGAGAATTTTTATTATGAATTCAAAATCAAAAATATAAAATCCTATCATTTTCAAGAATAAAAAAATGAACTCATTCTTTTAATATAAGATACTTAGCTTAAACATTTTTCTGATTGAAGAAAGAAAAAGAAGGACTAATTTCATGGTAACAAATACCATTCATAACTATAATAGTAAAAAAATTGTAATTGTTTACGTTATTCATGACATTAATATATAATATATCTTTATTTTGATTTTTTACATTAATTACATTCTGATTATTTCAAATATATTTATATATATATGTTTAAGTCGCATTGTAATAATTCGCATTGTATCATAAAAAATAGTACAAATTGGATAATTTTTCTGTTTTAAAGAGATGACGTACGATATTCATGGATTAGTTCGAGAAAGAATCCAAAAGTAATCATGATTAAGTGGCCAATTTTTTTTTTATTAAGCAATATTCTTTATCTAAAATTATTGTAAACAAATTCAGATCTCTAGTTAATGAAATAATACTTAATTATGATAATTATAATTAAATAATTTTAAAAGTTATAATATTATGAGAAATAATATTATGATAATAATACAATTGAGAGAGTTTCTAGTTCAAATCGCTATTTATATTCAAATTTTATTCTAGTCTTAATGAATATATATAAATATTTAATAATTATTTTCGAATTTTTTAATCTTATTTTTACAATTAATAAATTAAGTTGTCAATTGAATTGGAATTAAGAACTAATCATTGTAATATCGAAAATTTTTGGTTTGCAAATAATTTTTTATTAATTTATGTTTTGAATCTCTTATTAAAATATCATTTCCTCTTCTCTATAATCAGATAATAGATTCTGATTGATAAATTTTTTGTGCAATATTTAAGATATTGCTCTTTACCATAATATATAATATCATTAATACCATTAATTTTTATTAATCTCTTCACATTCAGATTTTTTAAAAATTTACCAATCCAAGAATATACAAAATTTATATTATAATTATTATATATTTTTATAAAAAATATATTTTTTACATAATTTCATATTTTGTAAATATTATAATATAGTTTTTGTCTTTTTAGTGATATAGGAATTTTTTGATGCTGAAATAAAAAATGCAAATGAAAGAATGCGATGTAACATTTATATTCTGTTTTATATGTTAAAATTTTTTATTTAGTAAAATAGCATACATTAAAAATATAATTGTATATGATATATATTACTTTGGTTTATATGGTACTACATATAAACTAACATTATAATTATTACACATGTACATTTTTTTTCTGTATTTTTTCACGTTTCTTACATCTTTTTTTATCAAAAGAAGTATGAAATTCTTCATCATATATTTTTCATCTTTTAATATCATTTTCTGATAAGTTCAAAATCAGAATCATGTTGAATTTTTTATGGCTTATATAATAAAATAAAAATAAAAGATCTTTTTTGAGTTAGATTCATCTAAAAAATTTTAATTTTTTTAAAAATTTTTTACAATTTTTAAATAGAAAATAAAATATTTTATTCAACATACCTGATTATTACATTATTTAATTGTAAGTGGGATTATTTTACAATGTCCTTATTATAACGTGATGAATCAGCAAAATTAATAATTATAAAAAAAAATTAAAGAGATGTATTGTGCGTTTCTGGTAAGTTGGCAACTGGAAAAAATAGGGTCTTCTTGGTTTTAACAAGATAACTCAATTTATTCGAATATAAACATATAATTAAATCACACATATATTTTTATAATTGGCTGAATTCGTCATATCTATTAATTGGCAGTATATATGATAAAAATATATATATGATAAAAAAACGAATGAGATGCTTTGAAATATAAAATTAATGAATAATGAATAATACATATTGGCAATGCATAGTGTAAAAATTAATTCATCTTTAATATATGATATCTATTACGAATATTATGAATATTTTCAGTTACTAATATAATATATTAATAATTTATAATTGATTTTAATTTATAATTTATTTTTCAATTAAGTTTTTAAATTTTAAAATTTAAGTTTGATTGGTTTCATATTTATAGCCAATATTATATCAATTTTTATTGATATAAACTAATTACATTAATAATTTAATTTTAATTTTTAAATACCTTAATTATATTGATGTATTTCAGAAATCTTATTTGTTAAATTGTTATTATTGATAGTACTGCTGCTGTCTGAAAAAATTTTTGAACTTATATTTAAATTATTTATACTTAATAATCCTATAACTTTTTTCACCAGTCTTTCTTTTTGGTTTTCAATTTTCTCTGTATGTAAAATCTTTTCCAATTATCTTTCGTAATTTTTGATTGCTCTATATATTAAATTTTCTAATTCATTTCATGATAACATAGCTATATTATTTTCACAAATAAATCATTTGATTTTGTTAACTCAATAAAATTAAAATTTCATGCATAAAGTAGCAATATAATATGTTTTTTTAATTTAATGAATTCATCTATTTTAAATACTTTTTCTGGTTTATATTTTTTATGTATATAAATTCTAATATTTTATATTTATTCATATTTTCAATGTATGAAATTTTATCTCAATTAATCATATAATTATATATATTTTTTTACTATATTAAGAACATACGCCATGTTATGAAACATAACAATATCCATAACAATTAATAATTTATAATTAAATTTTAATAATATTTTGGTAATTTTTCTCTAATTCATTTTTGAAAATTTGTTCAAAGTATTTTCTATAATGTATTTTGAAAATTAATTGCGCTTTTTTAATAAATCCACTTTATCTACAAGCATGTATTATTATAGATTTATTGGAAAAACTTGTATTTTTTAAAATATTAATCATTTTTTCACTCTTTGCCAAATTTAATCAATTGTCCATTATATTATTCACTCATATTTCATCGATATATACAATATTTCCATTTTATTCTTTTTCAAATTGCCTTTAAATACTTTTTCCTCAGTTGGTAATGTTTGGTTTTTCGATTAATATTTTTCTATTAGTGCTGTTCTTTTTCCATTTGAAATCCATTTTATTAATAATCTATGAATTTTCTATGAAAAATCTAATGGCCGTTAATAATTTTGAACAATAATAATTTAAATAATAATTAGACAAAATTCAAATATTATTTTTTATAATTACCTTATTCTTTTTAACAATAAAACTTTTTATTATTCTTGCAAGATCGTGTTTTAGAGATCGTGTTATATTTATATTATATATTATAATGGCTCTTCTTCAGATTCTGAATCTTCTTTTCTTATTCTACATAATATTTATCAGAGAATAGGTTGTAGAATAATTTAATTATAACGAAAGTATATAATAAGAAAAGATATATTTAATATGAAGAAGAAATGATATAGATGCGAATTGTATCGACATTTATATTATACTACACTAGACTCACTATGTCACGTCGCGAAACAAAAAAAAAAGTGGTTCAAAAAAAAAAGAGAAAAAGAAAACAGACGAAAGAGATATTATGCCCAGTGATACTCAATCACATGGAAAATGTACGAGATCGCATTTTTATACATTATATTAACTCAACATTATTCTTTCTGATAGACAAACAAGAAATGTCATAGACATCTGTTTGAATCTCTTTATTATATTTTTTTTTTTTTGTAATTCTTTTAGCCATATTTCGGGTCTTAGTATGTACTCCTTATCTTTTTTTGCCATGTTCCATATATTTTTAATATATTTATTATTTAATTTGATAATAAAATTATCGGTTAATTAGCTACAATAAACATTATAAATAATAAAGTAAAAATAAATATACAAAAGAATTTTATAATATTAAAAATAAAAAATAAAAATAATTAAAAATTAAAAATAAACAAAATACAAACTAATAAATTAAACACTATGAGTAATCAATAATTTAAACGTTAAGCTAATAAACTAAATTAATATTAAAAATTATAAATTAATTACTATAAATATTAAAACAAAAATGAAAATAAATAATTATGATTATTAAATAACTTTGAAAAAATCGCACGATGTAAAGAAAATATTTTGAGAAAACTGAGTAATTTAGAAATCAAAAATCATTTATTTTTTCCATTATAGGTTATCTCTTCATAAAAAGAATATATTTAATATTTAATTAATATACTTGTTTGCGCAGTGGATTTCATAACATATCATATTAAATTTGTCAGTTTATATATATCAATTAAATTCTATAAAATTTATGGATCAAATTAAAAGCTAAAATTAGAGAATGAAATACATCGCTACCATGTGAAATTAGAATTAGAAACATTTAAAAAAGAAGATTTGATAAAATCCATTTATAGGAAAATAATCTACTATCGATATATAGGAAATATATAGGAAGAATATAGGAAATATTGAAAAATATTAGGAGCAAAATAATATAGAAAGAATAATGTATATTATCGTTAGATAGAATTATAACAGTGAAATAGAAACAAATAGATCAGAGAACAGAGAATTTTTTTCGGAGAATTAATAATATAGAAAAATATGAATGTTTCAATTTCAATGATTTATAAATTGTAACTGCACAGAATTTATTTAATAAATATAAGATAATAAATATAATATAATAGAAATATTTAATAAATATAAGTGAGTTAAAAAAATTAAACTATTTTGAATAAAACGAAATACAAATTAATTTTTTTAATTGAAAATATATTTCAAGATATTAATTATAAAGATGATTTTTCATTCAAAAAATTTCACTTGAAATAATGCTAATAGATAAAAAATAAAGAATTTTGTTTATAATTGAAATTTTAATTGGGAGGCTATGTCACTACAATGTGAAATCATTTTATTTTACTCTGTTTCAATATACTCTTATGATCGTTCTCATAATTTTGATTTTTATAAATAATTGAATAAACAATATATATAACAAATGAAATAAACAGATTTCTATAATTCTGTTAATCCTTAAATCTTTAAATCCTTTAACTTATTTTTGCAATTGCTTTTACAGATATAGAATTCTGTCATATTTGCAATATTTGCAATATTTTTTAATTTGACTGCATCTTTCGATAAATATTCAGGAAGCAAAATATTTCAAAAAATTTCCTTGCCATGTATTAACACTTCATCGCAGAATTGAATATCATGGATATTCTTTCCTAAACATGCGATCTGTTTGTCTCAAAACAAAATGTTCAGACAATGAACAAATGGTACCCAAACATGTACAAATGGCTTAGGATGATGCTGCAAGGACAATGCCGTTTTTGAATGAAAGTCTTTATAAATTGCTTCGTATATTTAGAAACAATAGATTTGGAGTGTTGATATGGTCTCGGTACATGAGGCGACTTTTCTAGCTAGTCCCAACGGCAATCAGATCATCCTACTTGAAGGGAATTACTATAAATACATATGGAATAACTTCCTGAGACAACAAAGGATTTATGAGCGGCGTAGCTCATTAGACATTATATGGTGCTTTCCTTGGACAGAAATGTATCTCAACTAGGAGGTTGGTTTGAAGCGCTATTAGACATTTGCGTACTCATTGAAGACCCGGAAGTTCATGAATTGAACATAAAAGGGGTTTTAAAGGATACCACGCTTGAGAAGAACACTTAAAAACCAAGCAAAAATCTCAAGCAGGGAAAAAGATTTCAAAACTATTTGAAAACTATACGACAATCGTTTCAGAAACTATCAGAACCATTACAGAACTACTTGGGAATTAACACGAGAATTACCAAAACATCAAGAACTATTAAAATATTCAGAATTCCCAAAACTCCCAGAATTCCCAGAACTTCAAGAACTCCAAAAATTACTTCGAGAACATCAAGAAATATTTCAAGAACTTCAAGAACTATTGCAGAACTACAACAACTATTTCAAGAACTTTTGCAGAAACTTCTAGAATTCCTTCAAGAACTATTGCAAGAACTTCTAGAATTACTTTAGTCAAGAAATTCAAGAACTTCAAGAACTTCAAAAACTTCAACAACTACTATAGAAACTACAAGAACTATTGCAAGAACTTCTAGAACTACTTCAAGAAAATCACGAACTTCAAGTACATCAAGAATTATTTCAAGAACTTCAAGAAGTACTTTAAGAATTTCAAGAACTGTTTAAAGAATTTCAAGTACTATTTCAAGAACTTCAAGAACTACTTCAAAAACTTCAAGAATTTAACGAATTATTCAAGAAATTCAAGAATTTCAAGAATTACTTGATGAATCACAGGAGTAACAGAATTACAAGCATAAGAAATACTAAGAATCTACAAAACTCTTTGAACTTAGAACCATGATATCATTGACCGTCATTGATATATGGACTTTGCCTTTGATCGTCTAATGAACCGAACTTATCAACAGTGAATTTCATAATAAATATTTATTACTATATTCCGTAGCTTCACGAACGGGTTGAAACTAACACAAAATGTCTCAAATTTTTCTAAATTAATTACATATTATGTGTATAATATATGTATAATAATTATAATGCATATAATAATTAAAATTTATTATGTATGGAATGAAATTTGTACTTCGGACCGTAGTATTTATTGCATTATACAGAAGAACTTTACAAAAAATGTTAGAAATTAATTGCACGTGGTCCACCTTACATTACATCTCGCACATGTGATCACTAAGTACCATCCCTCAATCCGATGGCGACATTCATACCGCGGAACATACATAACATTCCCTTTCCTTTTTATGAAAATTTTATCTTGTCTAATATTGGAAGCGTTTGAGTTGTGCTCTCTTCGATCTTCATAGTTGGATCGGTTTGGCGGTTCGGAGTTTGTTGTAGTTGTTAATGATAGCTTATTTGGCGTTCACGTCGACATCTATAGGTATAATAACTTCTGCTGCGGATGCATCCGACATAGCCTACCTGGGTATATATTATATTTATAATACTATTTATAATACTATTATAAATAGTATTTAGAGACCCATAAAAACGAACCTTCCATTCAGAATGCATTAATCCTATATGATCAGAGCAAGGCCTGTGCTGATCTGATTTATATAGCACTTTGCCCGCGTAATCAATCTCGTAATGGAGATCTCGTGACAATTTAAGGAATTTATCCATTCTTGAATTGCCTGACATAAAATATACTGTGTGGCACGAAGCTTCTTGAAAGACAAATAGAATAGTGTCCGTTATTTTTCGGTGATCCTGATATCTTACGACATCAAATCTCGTTCTTATATTCTAACCTAAAAAAAAAAAAAAAAAAGAATATATGATTAATAGTGGAGCTTTGCATAATATTGAAGGAAAATATTAAGGTTTTAATATTTTTGAGATTGTCACCATTGAATGTAGGGCTCTTTAACAGTATTTACGTATCTCTCTGCTTGATCGTTGGTAAATGGATAGTATAGTGCGGTACTTCACTTTAACAGACTCTAGGTACGCCTTAAATTCTACGGTGGATTAAATACCGTATCTGATACCACGGTGATATCCTATAAGTTGCAAACAATCAGTTACAATCGCTAGTTGCTACTATAGTAATTGTAATAATTATAAGCTGATAGTAACGATTTCTAACCACTTGCTATATGCATCCACTATGATAAGTAGCATTGAGCCAACAACTGGTTCCGCGTAGTGAGAGAGTAGATTGTGAGTACGAAATTTCGAAGGTACATGTGCGTGCTTTGCATATTGCAGGTATTCCCTCGCAATCTTCTTGACGTCGCCATAGATTGCCGACTGGTAGACGAACGATCTTGCCATCTCTTGCATTTTGACAATTCTCAAATTTGTTGCGTGTTAAATCAGCCAGTATGTGGTTGCTTAATCGGGAATAACGATTCCATGCTTGTATACTAAACAACCTGTTGCTAAAGTGTAGTTAGCTTCTTACTGTGTAATCATGTTTCTTTATATTTTGATTTGACTTAAGCAACTAGACTAGTTTCTCTAGAACCGTATTCTTCTTCGTTTCTTTGCTGATGTTATTGGCATACAAGTAACTGCTTAATTTGCATGACAAATTTATCAAATTCATTATCTTGTACTATTTGTATGCTATAGTTCAATATATGAATCGTTTCTCTAATCAGAGACAATGATGCTCGTGAGCAACAGTTGGCATTTATGTTTTCTTTAGTAGACTTTAAAAAATAACTTTAAAATTAAAGTGTAATAGGTAGTCACAGTTGGCCATTCGATTGATATATAGAGTCGAAAAAGAGTGTAATATCTGTATCAACGGCTTATGATCTATTATGAGAGTGAAATGATGAGCATAAATGTAGTAGAAGAACTTTTGTATTATCTAAACAATCGCTAACGCTTCTTTGTTTATCTGAGGGTAGTTTTCACTCAACGTTCTACTTGCATAAGAAATTGGTCATTCTTGATCGTTAGAGAGTATGTAAAATTGTTCTGAGATATATCTTACTTGCATCTGTTATTGACCATAGATAAAGTCGAAACATACGGCACTAGAACTTGAAAGATCAAAATATTTTTAATGTAAGCCTCTTCTGAATGCAATTTTTCAATTATAAATATTCTTTTAATTATACTTGATATTGTGATTTAATTGTGTTTATGATTTAATGTTTGATAAAAACAATTCTATTTCTCAGATAAATTATTTCAATAGACTCTCTTCAACTGATTTTTTTTTTATAATATTTCAGACATAACAAATTTTTCCCTTTTATTGAAAATAAAAAAAAACAGTCTTTTTGTTTAAATTATATTCATTATATCATATATGAAGAAGAACTTCATTTTTTAATAATTTTTAAATAAAAATAAAAATTAATTTTTTATATGGAATATTGGGAAAATTAAAAAACTTTTTTGGCATTATTGTATAAAATGTTTAAGATGATTATAACAAAAATATATTATATTATATTACACACATTATAATATTAAATATATATGTAATATTTAATTATTATTATTATACATCAAACTATGAAACCTATAAATAAAATAATAATATAATTATAATGTATACAGATATAATTAAATTTTAATATATAGAATTTACATTTTCATGATATAAAATTAAATAAAATCTTTGAATACGTGAATTAATTATTCCTTAGATAACTGACTCAATGAAATAAAAAGATATGAGAATCAATATTTAATATTTATAAAAAATAAAAAATAAATAAATATGTTATAATATTTTATATATTTTATATATATAATATATGAATATGATATTTGTTATATATTTATAATTTTATTGTCTATTATTGTTAAAGTTGACTTAAATGTAATTGTTAAAATTGTGTGTCGAAAAAATATTTTTTATAAAATTTTTTATTATAAATTCTTAATTTCCTGATCGATATTTTCTTTAAAAATATATTCTGGTATTTCTTTAATATAGCATAATTTTAATGTCTTTTTTTAATTAATATTTTATAATATTAATGATATTTTAATGATATTTTATAACTTTAATGTAAATTCTAATAGATGTTGTATCATTATGTTATAATATTATTATAATTATTAAGTTATATTATTAATTATTGAAAATCTTAATGATATTGCTGAGATAATAAAAAAGAATAGTCTATAACACTTGAAATTTTCAATATTTGTTTGTACATGCATGTCCAATATTATCATCAAAATCGTAATTAAATATTAAATATTTCAGTTTCTTTTGATCTTTCAATTATCTTTATTATTTGAAATATTATCAATTATTTGTATTTGCAATAATATAATTTTTTATATAATGTATTATAAAAAATCTTATAATGCAAATTTGATAATGTCATTGATAATAATTCCAGCTATTGTTTTTTGATTGAAGAAGAACATATTGAATATATATTATAGTTTTTTCATTTATTTTTGAATATTCATATATTGATGTTTAATTTATTGTCATACAATAATATAAACTTCATTTAATGAGAACAAAATTGGTCTTTTTTTATCGTTGAAGAATAATTTTCAGATTTTTTCTTTATTCTGGACTTTCTGTCATTTCTTTTAAAATTACAGTTAAGTTCTTGCTTTTATATATTTATAATTTTATAATTATAAATATATTAATAAATATATAATAATAAATATATTTTTAATAAACTGTGAGATTTAATTATTATATATAAAAATTAAATCTTACAGTTTCATATAATATATATTATATATTTTATATATTGGTTAAATCAAATGAATCTTTTTTTAATCATTCATTACATTTTAACAATAAAATTTTTATATAAATGTATGAAACTGAATTTATTTTTTTTCAGTTTCCAAGTAAATTAATTTAAATTGCATTTTTTTAAATGTATTTAAATTTTCTAATGAAATATTGATTTTTTTATTATTTTTTCATATAAAGATAAATAGTTATCCATATCTTTTAAAAAATTCCTAAGAAGAAATGTGAAAGTTAAAAAAATCAAACAATTAATAGATAATATGGCAAGCTTTTCAACAAAACTATATAAATTATATCATATTATTCTTATAATTTATAAAAGTAAAATAAAAAAGTAATTTTACTAAGTTGTAATATAGAACTTAATAAAAGAAGAAAAAAGTAATGAACATATTTAAAACAGAAACAATTATTTACATAAAACAACTCAAATGATAAGAACATGAAATCAAAATCTTCAAATTCCGAATTCCAACTATTTATATTTCCAACTATATTGACAAAAAATAAGATTAAAACTTAATATTATCTTAAAAAGAAATAAATGTTTTGAAACAATATCGAGAATTTTAAAAATTCTAAAACGGAATTCTATCAACAAAATATCCAAACTATTATATAGTTACTATTAGAATAAATTTAAATATGCAATTACATCACGTGATATCGAAAGGTTTCCTCAAATTTATTTTTTTAATGAATATTAATTTTTAATTAATAATTTGAAAAAACTATTATCCCTTATTATAATTTATAAATTATATATAAAATTTATCACTGTATTATATATATATTATACATATATAATGAAATACTTTAATTCTAATAGAATTTAATAAGAATTAAACACTTATAAATAAAATTAATTTTATAATTAAATAATTACAAATATATTCTGTTTTATATATTAAAAAATTTAATAATTTAATAATATTCTATAATAGTTTGTATAATATATTTGTATAATTTTAATTATTATTAAATATTTTTCAAATTATATCGTGTTTGATTTTATTTTAATCAGAAAAAAAACACAAACACTTTACTAAAAGTTTTATTTTAAAAAAATCAAAAATAAGAAAATTTTATTATTACATTAATATTTTTTCCAATGTTTTTTTTTTGTTCAATGGAATTTTCTTTCCTTTTTAATGTTCTTTGATGTTCATTTGAAAAAAGATAAAAAAAACTTCGGTATAAAACTTGCATATATTTTGCATATATTCTGCATATTCTAATGTATATTGCATACTGTATATTGTAATTAAACTTCCAGAATCTATTTATCAATTTCTCAAAAAACAAACAATATCTTTACTAGAGATATAGATAAAATATTAAATGTATTAAGTATACTAGAATTATTTTGAAATAGAACATATGCAAAATCATTATTTGAAGAAAGTAATTTCTTATTAACATAATTAAAAAAGTGATGACAATTCTCGGCTAATTATTCAAATTTGTTTATGGAAGCACTAATTCATATCCATAATTATCTTCTAAACTCATTTGATAATACTTCGCATGATAAAGCAAGCATGTAAAATGCTTTGTAAAAGTGCGCATGTGCACCAGTGCTATCGACTATTTGCTGCGACGCAACGTCGTAAGTGCTCGCAGTTGGTTTCTAACTTAAGTATGGATATGACGTAAATTACTGCTTCTCGTACAAACATAATTATGAAGAAATTTGGCAGAGTTTTTTTTCTATTTTTCTTCTTGAATGCTTAGTTTTGTAATTAGCATAAATAAATTTTGTTATTTAAAAGTGAATGTCTCGTCGTGTTTTGTGTGTTGACATAAATAAATTTTATTATTTATCATTTATAAATTATTAGATGCTTCGTCACTATTCGTTTCTCACGTATTAGTGTTTTATTATTAGAACCGTTTACTGAATATTTCTCCTAATCATTTCTTATGCAAATCCTTCTATCATTAATAATATTATTAGAATACCAAAAATCAGAGAAATTTTATTGTAAATTCGAAATTTTGATTATTGAATATTGCGAAAGATTAAATTACTGTACGATAATTGAAAAGTTAAGTCAAAAGTTATATCAAAAAGTGCAATTCAAATATATATAAGAAATTTTTAATATACAATAGTATAATTAATTTAAAACAATATTACTAGGAAACGGCCACAATTGCAATAAATTATATGTCATTCGATTTATCTT